AAATGCATCTCAGTAATCCATTGCTAACTCAACAGTAGAAGATGCTTGGACACACGTGGCCCATGCCGTTCATTTTATTTGCTCAGGGAAAATATCAAAGGTTGAAAGCTCAGTGGGGTTGATTGAAAAAAATGTAAGTGATTTTTTCAAAACTAAACATTACTCTTGTCTGTAAATGTTGCAAATAGAATTTATGATTACATGTTTTAACTTCATCAAATTTATAATAAAGCATGCATTATTACGAATCATTCACCTTTTGAAGATATTTTCCTGTGATAGGAGGAAGGGGGTGTAATAAAACATGCATATTAACACTCTCATAAAAATAATTAAGAAAACGTCTGAAACAGATTGATTTCTTTATGATTAATTATTATCAAATAAATACTGTGTATTGGCTTTATTAGACCTAATATAATTTGATTTAAAGTTATTAATAATTTTATGCACAATGAATGAAAACATACCCCATGCTCCCCCAAAAGTCGAAGTGCTGAAATTCCCAGAAAAAAATAGAGGAATCGTAAGTTTCTTGTTATATGCACACCTATGCACATTGTGTCCTAAATATCTGCAAAGTTTGACGAAATGGTGTGCAGCTGTTTTTGAGGAATTGTGCTGACAAACTGCTCATCTTTATATTCAAAATATGGCCAAAATCTAAATCTTTTTTTTTAAATATATACTAAGTATAGACATTGAACATTGCTGCGTAGATTTAGCCCCCCCCCCCCCCCCACTTTCCCACTTTTCCCCCAAGTCGCAGTATAGGTTAAAAAAGAGAAAAGTTTTGGTGTTTGGAGAAAAATTTTGTTACTAAAGTTCGAACCTACCTCCCCCCCCCCCTTTCCCCCACACAAAATATGATATTCGTGTTTTGGAAAAGGACGTTTCCCCTTTTTTTTTAAGCTTCTCAGATTTTTTGAATGTATAAAAAAAATTCTTTGCACTTAGCTCCCCCCCCCCATACTTTCAATTTGCTTCCGACGCCAATGCATTTGAGAAGGTATTTGAGAAAGTTCCCATTCCCGTGATGTATATTTCACGTTTATTATATCCCCCGCCTGAAAAGTGGAAGGGTATATAGTAATAGTTATGTCCGTCCGTCGGTCTGTTACGCTTTGGGGTACCCATCTCTTATCCGCAAATCCTCTTATACCACTTAGTGAAATTACTAAAACTTTCACAGAATCTTAGGTTTATTACATTTTACCATTGCATGTGCACCTCCTATTTTACTTTTTGATCCGACACGTATTTTGGGTTTAGCGACAACAGCAAAATATGGACTTTGCCATTATAACCATATGGGAGGCGGGGGTATCATTTAGTGAGCTCATTGCTCACAATACCTATAGTTTCTCTTTCAATTTGGCCTTTTGGGTTAACTTCTTGTCCAAATTTAAATTATTATTCGATTTATGAAGTTTTGACATCCCGCCTGAAAAAAATCCTTGATCTGTCCTAAGGCATAATAAATGGTACAGCAGAAAGTGCGTAGGATCTTAAACCTATTATTGCCCTAAGGGATGGTTACAGAGTGAGAGAGAGGGAGAGAGAGATAGGTAGTTAGTTCAAAATACAAAAGAGTAAATAAAAATTATCCGTATTGAACCAGTGTCAAGAATCCCTACCCTTAGGCTAGCTTTTAAAATTATCTTCCAAATTCTCTTACAGAAATTATTTTTATATAGAAAAAAAAATAGCAAGACTATCAGGCAGGGATTCTGAAATCTCGATAGACTCTATAACAACATAATCATAGAATATTTATACATTCCTCGAAAGTGCACATACTTTGTGGTCGGAGTGACACATTTAAAAAAAATTCAAAATTGAATTCGGCAGAGATGTCTGTCTTCCAAGAGTATTTAGATAACAGTCATGTCAATTATTTTTGCACGCCCCCCCCCCCCCGCCTACAAATCAAATGCCTAGATGTCAATCTGAACAGGGGATGGCATTTCTTCGTGTGTTAATTGTGTGTTCAAGAACGTAAAGATCTATGTTCACATAAAAAATTGTATTCCGGTTATTTGCTTTTAAGATTTGAAGTAAATAATTACCGTACATCAAATTACTTGGTTTAGATTTGAGATTAGTACTATGATAATCAGTTATAATTGACAAATGAATTTTGCGACGCAAACCAACTGCAAACAATATACATGACTTTGTATAGAATGTATATTAGAACTACATGTAGATAGACAATTCACAATTATAGCTTATGAACAGCAGTTATAATACCCCCCCCCCCTTCAGCCGCGCAAATAACCAAATAACTTCTCATTCCGCTTGTGATATTTTCCCTGACCAAAATGTGATCGGACTAAGTGTATCGGCCTGGTAGTCTATACGGAGTAATGACAGTGTGTTTACTTTTGAGCTATTACGGAGTTTATTTCTTTTTTGTGATGCATATTTCAATAAATGGAATTGGCAGATTTTACTGCTTTTTATTTCAAGTTTATTCTGCATAAATTGGCGCACTGTAAAAATACGTACTCGTGACGTGCATCTAAATTTTTCTCACCAAACTTGCATTTTTTTCTTTTGTTTCAAATCAATAATTATTCAGAAATATGATAATTATGTTCTTTATTGTGGTTTTGAAATGTCTTGATCTCCTCATGTGTTCTCATATGTTTTACCATCGGAGATGTGCACAAGTCGATACCCAAACCGAATAATTATTCAACTGTAACGAGCACTTTGGGGTATACATCGTTACAATGAGACAAGGTGTCTGAAAGAAATATGGCGGAATACGGCTATCGTTGGTATGAAACAAGTCGTACATAGATAAAAATGTTGCGTTTTTAAGAATTCATGTCAGCTTTAACAGCACGGGATTTAAACCCGCCAAGTAAATTGTACTGAGCGGATAAAATATTATGGAACACAGTTATAGCATTTAGTTATTTACATAGCGAAAAGGTTTGTGTTAAAATATATGGAACAATGTTTGGACGTTAATTGTGACAACAAAGCTTGAAATTGTTTTTGAACATTTTGAACACTTTTATTTGAAAAGAAATGGAGATAGTATAGAGATTTTATTACATTACATTGTTGATTTAAATGCTCTCAGATTTTAAGTAAAATAAAGAAAACAATTGTGTAAGCTTTAAAAAAAACGAAACACGGATATGTAAAGCGTCTGGATAAATGAATTACCAGTTAAAATGATACAATAAAGTTTGTTTTAAAAAATCCGTTACGATAAAAAAATCGTCCGGTGTAACGTTGAATATTGACCCGAGTTGAAAATTGACCCGGGGGTCATTTTTCAACGTTGAATATTGAACCGGGGTCATTTTTCAACGTTGAATATTGAGACCAAAAGTCGTTGAATTTATACCCGGGGTCATTTTTCAACAGCTTGATAATTTTTTTCTTACACCTGATGACGTCAACAAGTTGAAAATTGACCCTGTTGAATATTGACCCCACCTCAAAGTTTGAACATTTTTTTTAGCTGGGAAGTTGTTTTACGGGATTTATCATGCAATATCACTTTATTTATATTTGGTTCCAATTTTTTCCCTTTTCAAGAATAATAGAAATAAACAAACAGTATCACCCCGTGTATATATATATCTACATTTTAATCAGTGCTCGATTTGAGTTATCTTCAAGCATGACAACTTTATTTTTGAAAATAATTTCCAAAATCCATGGCATCCATAAATAACTACAAAACAACGAATAGGGCATAAAAACAAAAATCTTAAAAATCTGCTGTCTAGAAAGTGAGCCCTATATATATTGATCAGGTGGGTGGAACATCCCATCTAGTCAAATTCAGTATAAAAATAACAAAATTAATAGCCTAAAAATTAGAATGAAACACATCGACCAAAATGATTCCAATGATAGGTTACATTTGTGGAAAAGAGCAATATTATAGCGACCATAGCATGTAAGTAATGCTGACTTTAAATAAATTGTTGAAATCCCTGTAACAATTAACTTATTTGTCAGTAGCCTGTCTCGGCTTGATTATTGATCGCTTTCGGACCATAACCTTGAGAATGAGATTTTTCTTATTCTAAAAAATTCTTATTTTATGCAATGTGATTCCTATTTGATAACTTGTTATTTCTATTCCATTATTTGTAATTTGTATTCGGACTACCCAGTTTTCATGCGTTTCATACGATTTTCTTGTTGTATACATGATATATAAGTGAAATAAAAGAATTTGTAAGCAAAAAATAAAAAAAAAATACGGCTGTTCGACGGGAAAAGGTGATATCACCCAATCGAATATGGGCTGTCACCAATTCGAATAAGTGATATCACATTTTCGAACTGGTGATCTCACAAATTCAAATCAAATAGGTGATATCATCTATTGGAACAGGTGATATCACTTATTCAAATAGGGATATTACTTTTTGCAGTAAATACCAAAACGGGGCTTCATACCTATGAATTAAATCACAGTAGTGAAAACCCAATCATAAATATGTGTGTTTTTTTGCTGTTGAATTTTTAACCGGTTTCATAATCAAAATTCCACGACCCGGCTCAGTTTTCAACGGATTAGGGTCTAATTTCAACACCTTTGGTCTCAGTATTCAACGTTGAAAAATGACCCCCGGGTCAATTTTCAACCCGGGTCAAAATTCAACGTTTCACCGGATAATGAAGCATCCGGATATCTTTGGTCTGTATATCTGAAGGTCCTCTGTATATCCCTGGTAATTAAAAGTATTAATTGAATGACAGTAAAAATCAAATGCTCTAATGACTACCCTGCTTCTTGAATTTTTATAAACAATTCGATATCTGTATCATACAGGTACTTTTATTAATGGATGCAATTTATATTTTGATCAGTTTAACTTTTGATATTTTTAAGGGGAAACAAAATGTATAATAACGTATAAATAGAATTTGCTCATCTGTTATTTGAAAGGACTGTGAAATACTGAATTATGAATTAAAAAATTTCAGATTGTGAATTGATTTTCTTGAAATCAAAAGAAATGGCCTCTGGACCAGACCCTGGCGGCCGTTCTAGGTTTGCTAAACTTGGGATGGCAATAAACGAAGAAATGACCCAGGCCTGTAGAGACGTCTTAGAAATGGAGGTACCTCCTGGTCTTGTCTACAACAAAGTGAAAGCATCGTCAATTTATAAGAAAATACGCCCCGAACAAGAACTTTCTCTTATAGGCGCCAAAACAGATGGTTATAAAAAATTTGATATTACATTGTTATATACACTGATAAGAAATATATGTACAAAGATTCCACGTCCAACAAAAAGTTGGGGTGGGAACGCGATGCCGTCTGTAGGAGAAACAACGATAGGTGATGATATTGAAAGGATCAGGATGATAAGAAACAACATGTTTGGACACATAAGCTCGGCTTCTACCTCACAGACAGAGTTTGATGACACGTGGGCAATTATAACTGATGTCTGCCAAAGACTGCAAACGTACACAAACAAAGACTACATGTCTGGACTGAATAATATTCAAAGTCAGGCCCTAGAAGAGGAGTACGAAACAACAGTCATTGAAAAACTTAGGGAAGATTATCAGAATAATCAATCTCTAATGGAAAAGATATCTTCTCTCGAAAAGGATTTGCAAGAATTGAAAAAAAAGTCAGAAAACGAAGGTGACTATAATAAATACTGTCATTAAAATATTTACTACATACGATATACATGTATGGTAGAGACTAGTGTTTCATGCTAACATGACAAATACATTTCTCAATAGTAGTAATTTGGAATACTTTTCCTTAAGATTCTTGAAATTTGAACAAAAGTCTGTTAAGCAAGAAAATCTCCATGATACCTACGAGACGTCAGAACTATGGTGCAATCTATAATGATCGATTAATTGCAAAAATGTCTGTCTTGTTATCGGGAAAGACGTAAACAAACTACAAAACTTAAGGCCTGCATATATACCATGGTGTTGTTACATGGCGGTGTTGAAACTGAGACGCCCTTGGAAGCCCCTTCTTCTAGGAAACCATGCTGTAATTGTAGAAGAAAACTTTCTCCGGATATTTTCATATACCTGTTGTAAAACTTCGTATACCACTAGATATAGAGTCAGACTTCTCCAGTTAAAGGTCTTTAACTTCATTTAATCTTGTTTTAAGAAGTACGTGTACAACAATCACTCTATATGAATCTTAAATATACTTACCAAACATTCACAGCGATGCATTCACCAAAAGTGGTGGAGATTAACTTATCCCTGACCGCCCATTTATCTGTTTGTCATGTTGTATATTTATTAATTAACTAGAGTGAAAAAAAGAGCAAATTTATCATGTTGGTAAGTTAACATATTAATTTCCCAAAGTGAATTTTGATTTTCAGATTAATAGGCCGATTTACTGCATTTCTGTCTATGTAAAACACATAAATTACCGTAAGATATCTAACAAAAAAACTTACGTGCAATGAAATTTTATATTATTTTGCTTGAATTAGATAATAACCCCATTCTCCTACTTTTTTTCTATTAAATGGATAAGAATCCTTTCAATTTACTTTTTTGAACTTCATCATATACCACAATTTAAAGTCAATACATATATTTGTTTCTTTTTCCGATTACTTTAAATTACATACTTTCTTGTAGTAAATATATGTATTATTTGCAATAAACAGTGCAACAGTATGTTTCAATACTTCATTCAGATTCGGTTGAATTTAAAAGAACAATCTTAGTTGACAATTATACAGTTTTTCCAAAAAAATACAATTTGATTTATCAATTTCTTATTTTCTGTTTTTTATACTTATTCTCTTCAAAAAATAAAAACATCTTTTTCAGAAAACCCTCTGGTACAAGAGATTCTGGACAACTGGCGACAAGACGATAATGCCTTCATCCCTACAAGAGCTAGTGAAGTGGTTCAAGAAAAGCTTAAAAGTCATAACCTTATCACTGTGGTTGGAAATTCTGGGTCCGGAAAATCTGCAATAATTCAACATATTGCACTTATTCTAAAGAAGGAGGGATGGGATGTCATACCAGTGGATAATGTTGAAGAAATTAAAATTATCTGTTCAACTGAAGTCTCAAAAAATCGGATACTATTTGTATTTAATGATCCTTTAGGTACGGAGTCGGTAGATGAAATTTTATATCACTCATGGAAAAGGTTAGAGAAAACGCTTGAGATTTGCTTGAAGAAAAATAAACTATTGATATCATGTAGAAGATGCGTCTTTTATGACAAGAGAGTCAAGGGTATTTTATTAGATGAATCCACTGCAGTAGAAATTGACAACAAAGAAAATGGACTGACGGTTGAAGAGAAAAGAGCAATTTTTAATCAGTATTCACCGAATCTGAATTTATCCGAAGGGGTTGTTACTGAAATAATCAAAACGGAAGCTTACTTCCCATTACTTTGTAAACTTTTTTCAAGGAAGGCAACCCACAAAGAAATGGGTGTTGACTTCTTTAAAAATCCGTACGGATTTATTAAAAATGAAATAGAAGTTTGGAAGAAAACAGACAAGAAAAGATTTTGCTCACTAATCTTGATAGTAACTTTCAAAAATAATTTGAAAATCGATTCTGTTGTAAAAAATGATATTTCCTTAAGGAAATTCAAGGAAATTTTAGGAATGTGTGACTTACAAGAAAACACACATATTTCAGTCATTCGTAGCACTCTACATGAACTGAAAGGATCTTATGTCAAACGTGTCGGAAATGCTTTCCAATTCCTTCACGACTTTATTATGGAGATAACGACTCTGGTGTTTGGTGTTGATTGTCCACAAGAGATAATACAATACGCAGACAGTGGTTTTCTGCGACGAAGGGTGAGAATAGAAGACGATACAGAAGAGGAAGATCGCGATCCCTTCACTGTTTACCTGCCTGAAGAGTATATTGATGATCTTGTGGACAGGTTTGTCATTGACATCCAAACAGAACACGTCGTAGATGTTGTACTCAATCCATGTTTACGAAATAAAAGTGTAGTGAAATCTTTTAAGGAAAAGCTTGATTCACCCGAAAAACTTCTTCTTCGAATTAAATTGAAAATAGACGGATCGGAATTTTTAAAATTTTTTGAAAACTCTAGATCTGTTTTTTCAAGACTACTTTTCCTTAAAGCTGGATTTGAAACGTGTGCTTTGATGGGACTTGTCTTATTTTGTCATACTGAAATTTCTTCATTTTTCTTAAAACTTATCCCTGAAACGAAGTTAAAAGAATATCCCATATTTTCTGCTATATGTGCGAATGGCGATTTAAGCCTGCTGAATTTTCTCAGCGAAGAATACAAAAAAACAGGGCTGCAAGAAAAATGGAATTCATATTTACCAATTCACACAGCCTGTATATTTCATAATTGTTCAATAACTGAAGAATTAGTTAAGCTCAGTTGTGACTTACATAAGTTTGACAACAATGAAGGCTTACCAAGTCCGTTGTTATTAGCTGCTGCAAATGATACCGGACATCTGAAAGAAGCAGGTATGGATACAGATGGTGACGAAATGCGTAATAAAACTGTAATCTGTTTATTAAACAATGGTGCAGACATCAATTTATGTACCAATAATGGAATCAGTCCTCTGTATAAAGCTTGTCAAAATGGACATCATAGCACGGTACAACTGTTACTGAACAACGGTGCCGACATTAATTTATGTGATGATAATGGAGTCAGTCCTTTTTATATAGCTTGTCAAAATGGACACGATAGCACGATACAAGTGTTACTGAACTGCAGTGCCGACATCAATTTATGTAAAAAGAATGGGGTCAGTCCTCTTTCTGTAGCTTGTCAAAATGGACATCATAGCACGATTCAATTGTTACTGAACAACAGTGCCGACATTAATTTATGTGATGATAATGGAGTCAGTCCTTTTTATATAGCTTGTCAAAATGGACACGATAGCACGGTACAACTGTTACTGAACAACGGTGCCGACATCAATTTATTTGAAAAGAAAGGAACCAATCCTCTTTATAAAGCTTGTAAAAATGGAAATGATAGCCTGGTACAAGTGTTACTTAACAACGGTGCCGACATCAATTTATGTGATAATGATGGATTCAGTCCTCTTAATGCTGCTTGTAAGAAGGAGCATGCTAACACAGTTCAATTGTTACTTAACAACGGTGCTGACATAAATAATTGTACCAAGGATGGAATAAGTCCTCTTTATAATGCATGTCTTAATGGAGATGAAAGCACGGTACAACTGTTACTGAACAACGGTGCCGAAGTCAATTTATGTGATAATAATGGATTCAGTCCTCTTTATATAGCTTTTGAAAATGAAAATGATAGCACAGTACAACTGTTACTTAACAACGGTGCCGACATCAATTTATGTGATAATGATGGAATCAGTCCTCTTCAATTAGTTTGTTATAAGGGAAATCATAGATTATTACAACCGTGTTTGAACGAAGGGGTTATCATGAATTTTTATGAGTATAAAGGCATGACTTGTACTGCACATTTTGAAAATGGAGATGATAGCAAGGTGCAACTTTTACTGAACAACGGTGCCGACATAAATTTATGTGATAATGATGGAATCAGTCCTCTTCATATAGCTAGTTATATTGGAAACGAAAACACGGTACAACTGTTACTGAACAACGGTGCCGACATCAATTTATGTAAAAATAATGGAGTCGCTGCTCTCTCTTTAGCTTGTCTAAATAGATATAATAATACGGTACAACTGTTACTGAATAACGGTGCCGACATCAATTCATGTGATCATGATGGAATCACTGCTCTCTCTTTAGCTTGTCGACATAGACATGAAAGCACGGTACAATTGTTACTGAACAACGGGGTTAGCATCAATTTGTGTGATAATGATGGAACCAGTCCTCTTCATTTAGCTTGTGAAAATGGTGTTGATAGCATGGTACAACTGTTACTGAACAACGGTGCTGACATAAATAATTGTGCCAAGGATGGAATAAGTCCTCTTTATAATGCATGTCGTAATGGAGATGAAAGTACGGTACAACTGTTACTGAACAGTGGTGCCGAAGTCAATTTATGTAATAATGATGGAATCGGTCCTCTTCATGTTGCTTGTATAAATAGACATGATAACATGGTACAACTGTTACTAACCAACGGTGCCGACATCAATTTATGTAATAACGATGGAATCGGTCCTCTTCATTTTGCTTGTCTAAATGGACATGATAACATGGTACAACTGTTACTGAACAACGGTGCCGAAATCAATTTATGCCCAAAATGTGGATTCAGTCCTCTTCATTTTGCTTGTCTAAATGGACATGATAACACGGTACAACTGTTACTGAACAACGGTGCCGACATCAATTTATGTGATAATGAAGAAGGCGATAGTCCTCTTTCTATAGCTTGTCAAAAAGGACATGATAGCACGGTACAACTGTTACTGAACAACGGTTCTTACATTAATTTATGTGATAATGAAAGAAACAGCCCTCTAAATATAGCTTGTCAAAATGGACATGATAGCACGGTACAACTGTTACTGAACAGTGGTGCAAACGTCAATTTATGTAATAATAATGGATTCAGTCCTCTTCATGTGGCTTGTTATATTGGATATGATAGCACAGTACAATTGTTACTGAACAACGGTGCGGACATCAATTTATGTGACATTGTTGGAGACAGTCCTCTAAATGTAGCTTGTCACATTGGACATGAAAGCACGGTACAACTTTTACTGAACAACAGTGCCGACATCAATTTAGGTAACAAGAATGAAAGCAGTCCTCGTTAAATAGCTTGTCAAAATGGACATGATATCACGGTACAACTGTTACTGAACAACGGTGCCGACATTAATTTATGTGATAAAGACTGAAGCAGTTCTCTTTGGATAGCTTGTGAAAACTCACATTGCAGCACCATTGAACTTCTATTAAATTCAGGTACTGATGTAAATTTATGTAATAAAGGTAACTGCAGTCCGCTGTTCCTAGCTTGTTTCAATGATGATGACAGCCTGGTTAAACTTTTATTGAACAATGGGGCAGACTTCAATTTATGTGACAAGGAGGGAACCAGTCCTCACTACATAGCCTGTGAAAACAGACATTACAGCACAGTCCAATTATTTTTTAAAAATGATGCTTGCGTTAATATATGCAATAAGGACAACAAGAGCCCACTGTATATAACATTCTTATATGGTCATCACAGTTTGAACTTTTACTACAGTATGGTGCTGAGTTTTTATTCTGACGATGGATTCAGTTTTTATTCTGACGATGGATTCGGTTTCTAAATACCAAGTGCGATCACATTACTTCTGAGATATGGAGCAAAAGTAAATTTAAGCTTTGACAATAGGTTGCAAAAATGAGCGGGATACTATCATATAAATTTTAAAGCATTTATTAAAAAAAAATTACATAAGAGGAAGCAAACACGTGCTGTAACATTCAGATATATCGACAACGTATTATCAATTATCAATATTTACTTTCATTGACATGTCAACTCGCTATATTCTAGTGAACTTGAAATCAAAGACACCACAAAATATGGTATTTCTGTTTCATATTCGAATGAACGGAAAATTATATGTATTTAATATTTTTTAATTGCATTGTTAGCACATATAACATTTCATGAATGGGTTTAATTTGACAGACATGTTTATACCAAGTGATAAGCTTTTTGTACTTTATTTGACAAAGGAAGATTCCCTCTGTCTATCAGAAAAAACCATAGCGAGTATGACCGATCAAAAGGGTATGTTTTCTCATTTTGGGCATCTGATTCCACTCCTGGAGTGCTTGTGATTCGTGTTTTATGTCCAGTTTGCATATATTTATTGTTTTTTAAAATTTGTGTAGATTGATCCTTTTTTCTTTTAATTTTAGTGATTACTGCAGTACTGTTTATCGTCAAATTTTCTGTGACAACTGATAATTTGTATTTAAAAGAGAGCTAGAGATATTTTACTTAAAAGAAATTTTCTTTGGATTACGTGTTATTGTTCGATATCATATATGATAATAGGATTTTTATCCGCAACAATTATTTTTTTGCAAGAAAACACAAAAGTAAGTTCTTTCGAATTAAAGGTATTTACAGTAATTTATTAAGCTTACTTACATTTCAATGTCATTGGGTTTTCTTTTTTTATTGTACTACTGCTATTTAAAGGTAATTAAGTTATTAAAAAAATCAGTTGAATAAAATGGCTTGTTTCAAGAGAGCTTAGTCTTGCGGTTACATAAACGTTTTTATGTATTACTGTCAGCAAGGGAGCAGTCTGTTTTTTAATATAATGTGTAAAATTGCTCTGTATTTCAACAATATTTTGATTAATTTGTTCTCTGGGATGGGTAATAATTATTTATTTGTGTGTAAATAAGAGCTTTATTTATCTTAAGCCTTTACAGGCGACACATGAGTTCGAACTGTAATGTTTAGAACATACAGTTATATTCTGTGAATGAATCAAAATTATTTTGTACCAATATTCGTTTATCGTATTAAGATTTATATATTCGGGGGAAATTTATGTATTTCCTAATAAAACATATCTTAAAGGAAGAACGTGTGTTTTTTAACCCCCTGTATATCAATTCGTGGATGAAGGTACGCAAAAATTCAGCGATATAAAAAATCACGTCACAGAAACATTTCTTATTTTTTAAATACATGTTTTACATTTGTCGATATATCATCGTTTACTTTTTTCTTTTCTTTTTTCAACATGAAAATATGTGTATTTATTTTGCAATAATTTTGTTTGTTTGTTTGATTTGTTTTATAGTGCTTTGTTTGTTATTTGGGATAATGTATTCCGAAGGAAGAAGGAAGGGATGTTAAAAGTATTTCTGTTGTGCAAAATAATTTTTTTTTAGGTTAACCTCAAATTAGTCATCGACATTTATAGCACGAGATAGAATTGAATTTGTAATTTTAACATTATGCAATAAATTTGGCATAAGTTATTGTGAAACATGCAAATTTGGCGTTTGATAAAGTACATGTTTATATATTTTTAAGGTAATATTTTATACAGTTTTATATTATGTGTTTATGTGTCAGAAAATATCATTAATCATTAAATGAAATTACTGACTTTTTTCTTACTGGTTATTATTTTTACATTGCATTGTCGACGGATTCTTTCGTTTTTTCCTGAACATGACAATAAGCACACGCCGGGTCTAATCAGACAGCAGGGGATGCTCACTCCTCCATGGCACCTGATCCCACTTGATATTTTGGAGGTCTGTGTTACCTCTGCTACTCTGCTACTATTTTTTAATGGACTTTTGAGCTCAAATACCGTTCCTTGTCTTTCTGTATTTTATTAAATTGTCTAATCAAACAAGTTTTAAAATCATGGACTAGATAGCATGAACTTTATGCTAACATCATTTCAAACCATTCGTAGTACTGAGCAGTCATGAGATAAAAAATCGATTTGAATCCAAAATGAATTTTCATGTAGTGTTATGCATATTTTTTTTACCTTGAAGCAGAAGATACGGTCTCATTCGAAGGACCGGTCTCTACGTCCCACAGTGGGATTCGATGGCGCGACGTAAGGATTGACTCCTTACTTCGCCACCCTAGAGCAGACGCTCTGTGCCACGCAGGCGACTGAAGAAAATTAGACAATTATGAGTAAATGTGTTTTTTTTAAAGGGTCATTTATCATCACATATGAAATAATTATGAATTGTTATTGAAAGACCGGGAATCTTATGGAGTTCCAGTCGGATAATGTTTTTAAAAATCTTGTTTAAAAACTGAAAGACTGTGGTATTTTGCGAAAACTATTACATTTTGTACATGTAAAATTGTTTGGACACAGATTTTACGTTATTTCAATATTTTTTTCAAATTTTCTGCATAATATCATAATTCATGTGTTGCAAAAACATTTTGCCTGGAAATATTAAAAAAAATTCATATCTATTTGAAATTATTGAAACTGATTTTCGGGACCTACTTGATTGACACATACTTACACTAACCAAACTTTATCAGTTTAAAATTGTGACTAAGAAAAAGATTCAGATTACTTCGCATACAATTATATGACGTTTCTGCACTGACAAAATGAACCTTTTCTGGAATTCAAAATTTGATAAGCGCAAAAATTAGTTTAAAGTCTTTAACTTCTGCCAAATTTAACCAGATAGGTCAAAGTTATCTTAAATATATACTCAGAAAAGAAGACTAAAAGTGAGGATATATTAGGGAATTTCTAAGATACTAGTATTATTTGGCTCAATGTTTTTTTTTGTTTTTTTTTGACTTTCAGAATATAGGTATTATATTTGTCGTTGAAGGTATTCATAAGAAATAAATTATTGTAGATTTCTAAATATACGCGTGGAATTAATAAGCGCGTAATTTCGCGAAAAGCACCACACGCGAAATAAAACTACTCGCCTATATATTTATTGTGCAAAAATCTGTGTAAATTCTCTTGATCAATCGACAATTTGCGAATTAATTTTATCGAGATTTGATATTGAATAGCCCATTTGCGATAAAAAGGACTCGCAAATATAAGAAATCTACAGTAATAGGCAATAGGAATTTAAAATTATTTACAGTACTGAACATAGTTTATAAGGGAAAAATATGATTATTTTTCTCTTTGAAAAACCTTCCGCAACATAATATAGTTCCTGGCTTATTCACGCTTGAATAGAATAAAAACGCGGTTTTCTTTTCATTGAATTATGGTGTCCGGATAAGGCCATTTGCGTTAGCACGAAATCGCGTTCAGATAAACGCGCCGTCGCGCTAACACACAACACGCCGTCGCGCTAACGCAACTTTGCACAACGCGCCGTCGAGCTAACACGCAACAGCAAGTCGTCACGGTAACACACAACACGCCGTCGCGCTAACGCAACTTTGCAAGTTTCACAGTCTAGTAGTAAGTCGTGTACGGAAATATTAGACTGCGCATACATCGAAGTCCCCTACCCTGGGGTCTGAAAATTTGGGGGTGGGGTTCTAGGGGCCAGATATCACTTCTATGAAAAAATGGTGATGGTACCATCTCTAGTTTTCGAGATATGGTCCTCTAGTTTTTAGCCCTACTATATAATACTATACGAATAAACATCGGGCTCGGGGGCATCGAAGACCCTACCCTGGGGTCTGATATTTTGGGGGAGGGGTACAGGGGAAAGATACCACTTCTATGAAAAAATGGTGATGGTACCATCTCTAGTTTTCGAGATATGGTCCTCTAGTTTTTAGCCCTACTATATAATACTATACGAATAAACATCGGGCTCGTGGACATCGAAGTCCCCCTACCCTGGGATCTGAAATTTTGGGGGTTGGGTACTAGGGGTCAGATACCACTTTTATGAAAAAATTGTGATAGTACCATCTTTAGTTCCTAAGATATAGTCCTGTAGTTTTTAGCCCTACTATAATATGTTGACGGTGCGACCGTTAGGGCGAGCGCAAACTCTTCTATTTCTTTTGATTTAGATCGGGCTCGTCAAACCGCACGTGACATTTTGTGCGTCTAGACTCTGACGTCACATGACGTATGTAAGTCGCAATATTCCGAGAAAAAGCCTGAACTGTGCTGAAAATTAATGAAGAACGTTTTGTTTACTAATTTTTTTCAATGTTTATCCATTAAATCAAGGCGAGTAAACTTTTTGTTGAACATTTGCCGTGATTCTCGCGAGAACGTAACTTAACAAGTGTTGCATTGTGGGTCGAAATTGCGGCGTCAAAAAATTCCATCGAATGAATGTGCAGTAGTCCAAA